GTGCACCCGGTGGAAGTGCGGTGCAGGGGCTTTGTTGCCAGTACAACAGCAAAGCTGCTTAGAGGGATCAGAGGACAGGCGCAACGGCAGCTATAAGAGAACTAGCTGACACTGCTGAGAGGTCACTGGCTATGGTTAAAAAGGGCTGACATCACTTGCAGCTAAGGCAGTCAGCTAACCGCGAGAGAAAAGAAAATACTCTGCTTTTCTCCCCTCTGCTCTTCTCCCCTTTTCTGGGAGGCAGTGGGGAGGTAGAGCGTACAGCCCGATCCGGCGGGGAGGTGTGGGAAGCCAGATCGGGCGCCCCACTTCCGGCTCTCCTCTCTGCTCTCTCCTATCTTGCTAAAATAGCAGTTTAGCCAGAGGTTAGGTTATGCTTTGTGCTGTTAGCTGCTTATTAAAAAGCACTAGTTACCATCTAGTACTGTTAGTCAATAAACCTCCTCTGTCAGAAACCTCTAAAAGCTCCCTTTTTCCTTTGACATCTCACCCTTGGTCAATACGCCAGGACTGCCATAATGAATAAAAAATACACCATTAAATAATTAATTAAACGTGGAAATAATTAATTACGTAAATATTTACGACACGTAATTGATTAATTAATGACACATTTAATTAATTATTGACATATTTAATTAATTAATGACACGTTTAATTAATTAATGACACATTTAATTAATTAATGACACATTTAAATAATTATTGACAGTTTTAATTAATTATTTAATGATTTATTTATTTAATTCATTTTGGCACTTTTGTCCCCTTCATCTCTCTCCTTGAAGTAATTTTATCTGTCAGTCTCACCCATCAAACTAAGTGGGCGGGGTTAACGTTGCCATTCAGTTTCCCTAACATTTGATTGGTTGCCGTGCAAAGTAAGTCAAGACAGGTCGATCCTATATAATCGATTGCTTGTGTAGACTTGGGGCAGCCAGGTATCCCAGAATGCATTTCAAATCACAGGCAGCAATGGTGGTGGTGTAGTTTTAATACCCCGTTTTTCTGTCACTAACTACACTTTTAATAGTGTCTTAGCCGCGAATGTCGCGCTGTAATCTTCACGTCTGGTCAGGTTGTCAACATAGAACATGTTTGCAAAAGTGCTCAGATGTTTTCAGAGATGTCACTCGCTCTGCTAACAGTCAGCTGACAGAGAGCACCGAGCTCACAGCCCCGGTGTTCCAGCTTAACTGTTTGTTTCCAGCGTTCCCAGCCCCCCCCCACCAAAAAATAAGAATGCATGTTTCAATTCGCATCACCTCAGTAAGACCATATGAAAAGACAGTTATTTGTGGTGAATGAAATACAGTTACACTTTCAAGCACTTTTAAGCACCACATCTTGAATTCAAGCACTTTTCAAAACCTTGAAAAGACAACATTAAAATTCAAGCATTTTCAAGGATTTCAAACACCCATACAAACCCTGTACATTACTGTTTGCATCACAGAATCAAAGACACAGAGACATCATTAGCAGCTACAGAAAATCCATGTTGCTTACAGGAAGAAAAAGAGAGAAGTATGAGAGGGGAAAGACGATCAGTCTGTGTGACAGAGAG